GGGGGGGGGACGACTGAGGTCCCCTGCCATGTATGAGCTCTCTATGCTTCACTGGCAACCACAAAATATTTACAAATTGCAAATACAACGGCCAAGATCCCTGCACCAGCTACAACTGCTCTTTTTACCTGTTGCAGGGATGTTTCTGTGCTCTTTTGCTCAACACCGTTAAGCGTTTTGACATTCAACTGACTGGAATCAAGCTGTGACCATGTTTGAAGTTGAACTAGAAGTCTCGGTGCAGCGTGCTTGTGTATGTGATCGCGATCAGTCAATGTCGCACAGAAGAGGATTGATTGGAGATGAATAATGTTCGTCATGGGGGCAGCTAACAGGCCATGTGGTGTTTAGAATTGGGAAACCCAGTTTGAGTCTGTGACAAATTTATCACTTTCTCTGCACCTGTTGTTTGAACTGCAAGTCTGTGGGTTGCTCAGCATAATTTTGAACTTGTCATAAATTACAAATGAACAACTTTCCCCGCATGTAGAAACGCACCCGCGTTCAATTCTCCATAAACTGCTGCCTGGAGCCTCATGCAGTGATTTTCCCTTTTAAAATTGTAAGCACTTACTATCTTTAAACTCAACTCCATGCCTGGTGGCAGCAGGCATTAACATGAGCATTGATCCCGTAATCATTGTGTTTATGCCAAACTCCTTGTGGAATCCAGACATTTTTGATCACAGCAAACATCTCAAAGCTGCAAAAGCTCGTAATGCAGCGCTGAGACATCTCGCCTACGAGTCTTGTCTGAATGAGACAAGAGCTGTCATTTTTAGCTACAAAGCTCTGTGCTCAGGGACCTTCATTCAGTGTGTTTGAAGGCTCTTTACACACAAACACAGGGACACGCACGCACTAATTGCTGCCTCTGTCATCTTGATGACTTCCCTAAATATTCAAGGTTTGCATCTGGGTTAATTACACCTTCCTAATCCCTGCGAATCTACCGCATGGTTCAAATCGGCCTCTATGGCAGACAAGAAAGGCTTTGTACTGTTTGTGTAATATAACCAGCTAAATGTGTCACTTTTAAAAAAAAAATTCTTTCAGTAAATACAATGCACAGGGCACAGGCAACTCATGCCTTATGCAAGCGTGGCACAATTTTTCAGAGTGAACAACTCTTGAATGTGCTTTATTTTCTGTTTAAGTAGCCGATTCAACTTGTATTGCAGGCCCTGAGGAGATTTGTGGAAGTGTCTCATAGAGTGAATTCAACTTATTAGAGCCAAGAAGTGGCCATGATGTCTTATTCAGTGCTGAGCTGCA